ACATGTTGTATAATCCAAAATCCTAAAAGAATTGTAGTCAACAGAGATGTTGTCTTTGAAGAAGGAATGGCTTGGGAATGGAGCACTGAATTTGGTGAAAAATCAAAATTTGTAGTGGATGAGTCTGTGGGTGTTGTAGCTCAACCATGGAGCTGGTGTTGTTGTTGGTGGTGGTAATCTACAAGATCACTTAGATGAGAATTCAGGGGGAGCAGGAGGTCCATTTGATGGTGTACAAACCACTGGTGAAGTGGTTGAGTCAATTCAGCAAGGAACTAAGACACAGACTGACATTGTTCAGGGTCAGACAATAGATGCATAATCAACTCTAGCTCAAAATGCAGACTTGGATCTAGGTGATATGGACATGGAAGATTCAAGTGACTATGATGAGGAACCTTTGAGGTTCAGAAGCCTAAATGAAGTGTATCAAGATAGTGTGGAAGTGGAGTTAACTTTTGACATAGAAGTTGATGCACTATTAGCAGTGATGGAGGAACCTAACTGCTACAAAGAAGCAGCTGGTGATAGAGATTGGGTGGCAGCTATGAAGAGTGAGATCCAATCCATCAACAAGAACAAGACATGGGAGTTGGTGAATTTACCAAGCTGGTCACAAACCTATAGGACTGAAGTGGGTTTTCAAACTGAAAAGGGATGCAGATGGAGAGGTGGTGAAGCACAAAGCTAGATTGGTTGCCAAAGGATATATACAAAAATAAGGAATTGATTTTGAGAAAGTGTTTGCTCCAGTGGCAAGACTTGACACTTTGAGACTAATTTTGGCCTTGGCCTCTAACAGAGGTTGGGAGGTGCACCATCTAGATGTCAAAACTGCATTTCTCAATGGGTAACTTGCTGAAAATGTATATGTGTCTCAGCTAGAAGGGTTTGTGAAGAAAGGAAAGGAGTAGATGGTGCTTAAACTAAGCAATGCTCTATATGGGTTGAAACAAGCTCCTAGAGCTTGGAATGTGAAGCTAGACAGCAGTCTGAAGAAACTTGGTTTTAGAAAATGTGTGACTGAACCAGCAGTTTACATCAGAGGAGCAGGCTTGTCAGCTATGATGCTTGGTGTATATGTGGATGACTTGATAGTGACTGGTGGTGATCTAGTAGAAATAGTAGCTTTCAAGGAGCATATGACTTCAGTATTTGAAATGAGTGACTTGGGTTTACTGTCATTCTATCTGGGAATTGAAGTTGAGTAGAAGAAAGACTACATAACTATCAAGCAAACTAGTTATGCCAAGAAAGTTTTGAGTCAGTTTTGAATGACTAACTCAATGCCACTAAGTGTCCAATGGATCCAGGTGCTAAACTTGATGCAGATAAACAGGGAGAGAGGATTGATGCTATAGAGTATAGGAGGATCATTGGTTGTCTCAGGTATTTGTTGCATACTAGGCTAGATCTTTCTTTCTTAGTGGGCATGGCTAGTAGGTTCATGGAGAAGCCTACTGTCAAGCATTTGAAAGCAGTGAAGCAAATTCTGAGATACTTGAAGGGCACTTTGAACTTTGGGTTAGTCTACACTCAAGAAGGCAAAGAGGAACTATTGGTAGGGTATACTAATAGTGATGTTGGAAGTGATCTTGTGGGGAGAAGGAGCACTGGTGGAATGGCTTTTGATGTGAATGAGAACCTAGTGACTTGGAATTCCCACAAGGAGAAAACAGTGGCATTGTCATCATGTGAAGCTAAGTTTATGGCAGCAACAACAACAGCTAAGCAAGCTTTGTGGCACAAGAATTTATTGGGAGAGCTCACTGGTACTCGGTTGAAGACAGTGACATTGATGGTGGACAACAACTCGGCCATTGCTTTGATGAAAAATCCTGTGTTTCATGGTAGAAGCAAGCACATAGACATTAAGTACCATTTCATCAGGGAGTGTGTTGAGCGTGGCCAGATTGTTGTGAAAAGGGTCGGGACTTTGGATTAAAAAGCAGACTTTCTGACAAAGCCACTGCCCGCGGTGAAGCTAGGGGTGATGAGGCATCTGCTAGGTGTCCGAGAGCTAGAGGTGCATCAGGCTTAAGGGGGAGATTGTTGGTGTAAGCCAGCTACATGATGACGTGGTGAAGTGAGGAGGAGCGCTAGACAACTGTGAAGGGGGAAAGACAAGAATTCAAATTCAAGTCTGGAGTGTGACCGGTTGGCGCAGCCTAGAGGTGGTGACTGCGCCCTAGGCGCGATCTAGAGCTGGCAGTTACATTGACATTCCTTTGTATCATGTTTTTATGGTTTCTATGTGCGTCACAGTGTGTATTAGCTATTAGTATAAATAGCTGGGTGTTTAGTGAGCATGTGAGCATTTTGGTTATGTTGTAACCGTGTTTGTAATCGAACATCTGAATAGTGAAAAGGGGCACTGTCATCCCTGGCGGTTGCCATGGGTGTTCATCGTGTTCATGCACATTCTTGTAAATTAGGCTTAGCCACTGTGTGATTTGCTTGTGATTGTTGATCCTGTGCTATCAGGACGGTCGGTGGGCGGGAGGTACGCGAGGAACACCGTCCTGAAGCCGCCGTTGCCGAGCTTGGATGCCATGTGAAAGGACCTAGGATGTCGCCTAGAGGGGGGTGAATAGGCGTTTCTGAAAATTAACACCTTTGAATGCAGAAATAATTAGAAAGGGGAGTTTACAAAATGGAAACTCCAAATTAAGAGTACTACCACCCCTCACAAGTTAGCCACAGAGTAAACAAGGTATAAAGAATATATCTAGAAGTTACAACCCTGCAACACCAAGTTAGAACAGAGAATAAATATTTTCAAGGTAGGTAGGAAATATCGGACGTGTCCGGTATGAATACCGGACGTGTCCCAGATATACGATTTCGCAGATCGGCCCGAACTTGCTCCTTTTGATTTCTATCTTCAAACCAAACCGCAGCACCTAATGGAGATGACAATATACACAGAGAACTCCGGCAGAATAGCTAGAGCAACACAAATATCAAATGAAATGCGAATTGAGACACGATATTTGTTTTACCGAAGTTCAGACTCGTCCAAGTCCTACTCTCCGTTGAGGGGGCTGTGGGCGACCCAGCAAAGGTCAGCCCTAGAGGGTACCACGAAGGTCACTCTAGCCGGAGTCTTTTCCAACTCCTTTTCCTCCTTCCACTAAATGATTCCGAGGCGGCGGAATGGACCGTTACAAACTTTTCGAAGCAACCACAATCTCTCGGTTGCTCTCCGGCGACGCCTAGCCATTTAGGACCGAAGAGTCCAAGAGTAACAAATGCAAATCACGAGATTGACAATATGCACAAGTGCTCAAGTGGTGGCTTGCTCTCTTTTTCAAATTCTCTCTTAACCCACAAATTGATTTTGCAATTTGGATCACACACTCACTAAGAGAGGGTTTAGGAGACTAGGCAAGGCTCAAAAACGTGTGTGTATATCAGCAGAATCAGCAGCCTCCAAAGGTGGAGGCTTGGGGGTATTTAAAGCTCCCTTGAAAAAATAGCCGTTTTATAGCCGTTGCAATACCGGACATGTCCGGTATACATACCGGACACGTCCGGTATGACTTACACTGCCCCAATGGTAACTAAGTTACAGTGAAGTTGTGAGGCGTCGAAACTCCCGAAGAATGCCGGAACTCCCGACCGCCGGAACTCCCGACTCACGTCGGAACTCCCGATCCTCAGCAATTTTAAAAACCATGTAACGAGTTAAAGAATATGAGGTGTCGGAACTCCCAACACATGCCGGAACTTCCGACCGTTGGAACTCCCGACTTACGTCGGAACTCCCGACCCTCAAGGCTTTGGAAAACCAGCCGTTGGCCTCTGGTCGTCCATACTGGACACGTCCGGTATGACCTGGACAGTGAACTCTCCAAATTATTTAAATTACGAGACGTCGGAACTCCCGACCATTATCGGAACTTCCGACTGTCGGAACTCCCGACATACGTCGAAACTCCCGACGAACCAACCTGAGAACAACACTTTTACAGTTACTGGGCAAATACCGGACACGTCCAGTATGCATACCGGACACGTCCGGTATAGCCAGACCAGCAAAAATAAAGTTAGCTCTTTTGTCGCTCAAATACTCAAAACTCACTTGGGTTGGCTTGAGCACTTATGAAACATTATCTATCAACATGATGCATCCCTCTTAATAGTACGGCATTCCTATTTACTCAAATTTAAAAGTATAACAAATTTAAACCTTTTGAGTTGCTCTTTTTGAACCAAAGCCGTGTATTCCAATCTTCATCAAGTGAGGGTGCCAACATGTTGATATTGATCTTTTTCACTTGAGCATAGCCATCTTGAGCACGTGACTTGATTCCATTCATCAAATTTGAATAATCCCAAATGTATCAAGTCACTTCTATCAAACACTCCAATAGTGATTTGATCCTTCACATCAATATGACCATCGTAGCTTGATTAGTACCTCAACTAAATGCAAGTACTTTCTTCTTCACCCTAGCTAGGTTCTTCGGCCGCCAAGCCGTCGCTTGCCCTTCACCCTTGCTTAGTACCTCGAAGCCTTTCCTTGCTATCTTCACCATCTCAAGCCATCAAGTCACATCTTGTGTTGAATCATCCATTCATTTGTATTGTTGTCTTTTTTCATTTCAATTTAGCAAGCTTCAAATATGAGACCATTCCATATGCAATCCCTTATGTCTCATTAATTAATTCTCACAAGCTTGCTTTTACATAGTACATGGAAATCCCACAATAAACAAGCCTAAGCATGAATTCTATTTGCATTGTTGTCTTGTGCTTAAACTAGATTGTTTATACAATAACACATCATTTTGGCTTTCATTAAGTACCTGTGAGATAACCTATCACATGTCCACACTTAGCAAACGGGTTAGACCTTTAATCACATTGTCATTCAATCATCCAAAACCCACTAAAGGGCTAGATGCACTTTCACCATGTCGAAGCCCGAGGTGGTGGCGCATAGTTGCTCATAGGTGAAGGACGAACAGTGGTGGTGGAGCCCGTGCCACCAGAGGATGGCCGTCGAGGAAGACCCCACCACTGCTGGCTCCCGCGCCACTATGCCTGGGAGTGGAACCGGCGCACCGCGATGGTGGCGCAGAGGTAGAGCAGGAGAAGCGCGAGGAGCGACGCGGCGGCAGCAAGCTCCACAGTGGGCACGTTGGTGCTGTTGTCGTGCTGCTGCTGCTGCCGCGGCAGCGGCGGGGGGCATGTGGACGTGCCGGCACGTGGCAGACGAGGAGGAGGAGGAGCAAGAGGAGGCGGAGGAGATGCGGTCGCATTTCGGCGTGGTGCGGTAAGCAATCCAGGCCAGGGCCGCACGGGCGAGAAGAGGGAGGGAGATGTCCAATGCACCGTCGTCAGTAGTAGCAACCGGCCTCCTGCGCCAGCGTGGCCACGCCTGCCCATGGAGATCTCTACCGCCGGTGCCGGCGGAATCGAGTACCGTCGCCACCGCAGCCGGATCCACGTGCACGTCAGCCCTCAGCGACAGCGCCGGCCTGACTCGTGCTCAAGGCAGCCCCAGCGATGGTCTGACCCGCGTGCATGGCGAGCCTCGACGGCGGTGTGGCCAGATCCGCTTACGGGGAGCCCCTAGCAGTGGTACCGGCCTGACGACGTGCACGGCGGCCCTTGGTGGTGGTGACTCTCTTCCTTGACCGGCGTGTCGTCTCCCTCCCTTCCTGACTCGCTGGCGTGAACGTTCCGGTGTGTGAGCATGAGAGAGAGGACATGGCCAGTAGAGAAGGGCATCTTGGACATCTTCACCCGCTGGATCCACATGTCAGAGCTACTAAACGGTGAAAAACAAACGGATGGTGGATGAAATGACGTGAAAGGCAAGAAAGTTTAGCGTCTTGGTATCAGGGTGCGTTTGAACTTTTTAGTGGCATGTAGGTCAGGATCATCTTTCGTAATGGCACGTAGGCTATCTTCTTTGAGCCTTTTACCTGTGTGCCATTATAAAAGATCCAAATTACCTGTACCATCGAAAAAATGAAAAGTTGTTCAGTACCCTTGCATGAAATTTTTTGGTTGTCACAATTGTCGAATTTTTATTTATTGGAATTGTCGCAATTGTTATATTTATTGGTTCTCGCAATTGTCTAATTTATATATATTGGTTGTCACAATTGTCGAGTTTATATTTATTGGTTGTCGCAATTATCGATTTTATATTTATTTGAATTTTTATGTGCACACACACAAGTTGTCATAGTGGTATAGAGGAAAAGTGAAGTTTTTTTAGGACACGGCAGTGGCACCAGAGGAAAAAGGGAAAATTTGATGATACAACAACTAAGGATAAAAGAGTTATTTTTGCTGGCCGTTAGCTGTCGTTACAGGTAAAATTGATGAAAGGAAAAGAAAATTTGATGCCAGAATACTGTGGAACTTTTCGTTTTTTTTTATGGTATACCGTTAATATCCGTCTTTTATAATGGCACACGAGCTTATCTTCTTTCCAGTTCCGTTCCACCGACATCCTCCCCTTCCACTTCTCCCCAACCCCAACAAGGCTTTTCGCCGACGCGTCGGCCGCGGGAGATGGACTCCGCGGAGGACGCCGCGGCGAAGTTCTCCTCCCTCTACGCCGAGCTCGCCGCCAAGGCCTCTCGCGTCGCCGAGCTGGAGGCTAGGGTCTGGGCCCTCGAAACCGAGAACGCGGGCTTGAGGGAGGCCCTGGTGGTGGCGAGGCGAGAAGCAACGGGCAGTACAGGCGGGGAGGATGACCCAGTTCTACGCGGAATCAAGCACGAGGCGGTCGAGAAGCGTGGCGGGGGCGTGGCCCGCGACGCAATTGAGGTCAGCGACGACGAGGAGGGCGCTGCTGCTGTCGGTGCCAACAAAGGGGGAAGCCCGGAGGTGGGCGTGGGTGCCGTCCCGGCTCCTCGGAAGCGGGCGGTGTCCGGAGAGAGCGTGGGCGAAGCCGATGCGGAGGACGCGGAGGGAGGCGGAAGAGGCAACCGGGAGAGCAGCGCGGGTCTGGAGGATGACGATGTTTCGGTCACGCCTTGGGGGAAGAAGCGTGGCCGTGGGGCGGCGGCGGCGCGGGTGGTCACCAGTGATAGCGAGGATGATGGTGGTGATGAGGATGAGCTTGGGAGTGGCAAGGATGACGTCAATGATCAGGAGGGTCTCATGAGCAGTAGGAAGCGCGCCTTTCGTCGAGTCAGTGACAGTGAGGATGAGGATGGCGATGAGGACGTACCTCCGCATCAGACTGGGAGTGGGGAGGAGGATGTGCATGATATGGTTCCCATCTATGAATTGCTCAAGAGGGTGCCTAGTGAGGACGGTGATGAATCGGATGAGGACAAAGGGGATTCTGCTCCCGCGATGAGGCGTTCTTCTCGGTTGTTTAAGAGGGTTCCTAGTGAGGATGATGATGAATCAGATGAGGCCAAAGGGCATTCCGCTCCCGCAACGAGGCGTTCTGCTCGGTTGGTTAAGAAACAGTCAAAATCCGACCGCGTGTTTCGTGGAATTAGTGACAGTGAGGATGAGGATGGCAATGAGGGCATAGCTGCGCCTCAGACTGAGAGCGGGGACGAGGAGGATGATATGGTTCCCATCGATAAATCACTCAAGAGGATGCCAAAAGAGAGGGCGAGTGAGGAAAGCGATGAATCTGATGTGGCCAAAGGGCATTCTGCTCCTGCATCTAGGCGTTCTGCTCGGTTGGTAAAGAATCAGTCAAAAGGGCGAAGAGTTGCATGTCCGGGGCTCCACTTTGTTGAACCACCCAAGGATGTTGAAGGGAGTGAAGATGATATGGAAGAAGACGATGATATGAATGAGTTCATAAATGATGGTTCTTCTGATAATGCTAGTGATTCTGCTGAGGAATCCTGTGACGAATCAGATGTACCATCTGTTCTGAATGAAAAATCCTCTCCAGGACTAGAAGTGTCTGATTGTGAGGTGGACTATAAAGATGTTATGGCTTACATTGGCCATAAAAAGAAAGCTAAAGAGTGGGATTATGAGGCAGATATGCTAGCAGCATTTGGTGAACATCCTGAGCTTTGCTTGAAGGCTGTTTGTGCCATCTACCGGAAGCAAACTGAGGATGAACAGGTGGAAAAGGCCTCTTTAGTTCATAATAAGCAGGGATTTAGCAACAAAGATGCCCCAAGGTATGTTTATATGCATCTCATTGGTTTTTTGCACAGTTAATTGCAGATTCATTGCTCGCAAATAAGAAGTAAGGCGGTGCTGTTTGAAGCAGCATGAATTTGAGCATAGTAGGAACTTTCCTGTATACATGTATTTGTTACCGTAGGTTCCTAGGAAGGTACATTATCTAGATTGAATTTCTAAATGTGTCGACATTTCTTGTTAGGAATCAATATTGAATTAGCTTACTAGCTCTGCACTTGATTATTAACAAACATTTCGTAGACAGTGTTAATTAACAAAAAAAGGTGTTTTTTGTTAAGTTTCTTGAACGCAATGCTCAAAAAACCGGCTATGATTTTTGTTCAGCTAAACAATTTAGGTTGAGAGGAAATTTCAGTGCTAAGTAACTTGCACAATATGCTTGTATTTTATTTAGCTCCTCTGTAGTATTTCGTAGTAAAGTAGAATGAAAAGATGAGCACTAAGGGAAGTTGGTGTTCTCAGTCTGCTGATAGTTGATTGCACTCTACTGTTCATATAGGGGATCTCGCATAGCAGAATTTCTTCTGGATGGTGATCGGGTTGGTCCACTGAAGAAGACCGTCTCAGATTTGGACGAGTATGATCGTTATGCTTTTGAGTTCTGTCGCAAGGTGGCTTCACACTACTCAAAACAACTTTTTGCAATTTACCAGAACAAGGAGGACCCTTACTTTCATCCATAGCTCTGGTAATGTCTACACCTTACATTGACCTTGTATGTCTCCCCTTTAGTATTCTGCCAACTGCCTGCTACACTCTTTTGTACATATATGTTTAATTGTTGGGTCTCCTGGAGAAGTTAGGACCTGTTAAATGTAGTTTCGGAGAATGTAGTGGCCTTAATGTGCCATAGGAGTGTTGTTTAGGAAGACAAGTGCTTATGGTGTTTGTGTTATGGTCTTGTCCGTGCTACAATCCTGTTTAATATACCTCATTAAGATACTCTGTTTATTGAGTTGGGGGCATGAGTCCTTCTCTTCTGCAAATGGATGTGTGACCAATGTACTGTTACTTCCAGACTCATATGCACTTATGAGTGCTTAAGTTAGGCCTGCAAATGGGGTAAGACCCACCCCACATCCGCCCTAACCCGTTCGCCTGACATAACCTGCCAACCCAACCCCACCCAAAAATCAAATTACTAAACCTACCCCACTCTTGTGGGTCCACTCAAGCGCGAGCTTGTCGTCCGTCTTGTCCTCTTGACTCGCCTGAGCGCCTAGCACACGCAAATATCACATCGCATCATGAGCTCACTTGGCTGGCGCACCACCTACCCTCCCAGCTCCGCTGCCCGCTCACAAATCGCCGGTGCATTCCCAAACCTGATGTGCAACCTCGCGCAGCACCACCGTCTCCTACTCTCTTCAACCGGAGGCTGACCTCAATGTGCCTTCCAGGAGCAAAAGGCAGATATGAGGCATAATCTCCCATTTAGATACATAGGACATGGAGTTGCTAGCTCATGCCTCTATAACCATTCAACCAAGGTGGCAAAATCCCTTCCGTGCAAACCATGATAAAGACATGCATGTAGCCGTTTTCAATGTAACCATCTGCCTGCTGTAGCAATTACAAGAGTAGATTCTGTTTCTCTCATTTACTACAACTAACAAAAGGGCACGTTCTAGACATATGCAACTAACAAAAGGGCACGTGCTATATATATATATGCAACAGTGAGGAGCTCTTGTCAGCAATTTAATACAGAATATGACGAGGAGTCTGCTGCATTATTTTCAGACGTTATGGGCGGCCCGCAAGTATGTTTTATCATGTCGATGGCTGTTATGTAGATTTCCTTTTCGTATTGATGTCGGGGAAAGGCACCATTGTGCCAAGAAGAACTAATATGACGAGTCTGATGCATTCTTTTCAGAGGGTATGTGGCCTGCAATGATGTTTTCGTCATGGCAATGCCTGTTAATGCAGGTTTCGTTTTCGTATTGAAGTTGGGCACCATTGTGGCAAGAACAGCTACAGCTTGTTTGTTTCCTTTCCAAGCAATCTGTATTAAACACAGGGACCCAGCCTAATCTGCACCACTCCTTTCCTGACTAAATCATTATATTTAACTAATACGTAAATCATTATTCAGCTTTCTGTCTGCACTCTGCCTCATGTATCCAGTGTGAGCTGAGACGTGTTGGAACGGACGCTACACGTCTGTAAGAGCAGACCGGAGCACCGTATGCTGCATTTTGAGTACCCACAAGTGAACGGATGCCTCATGTATGCCAGATTGTACTGTTGCTCATCTTCTCTTGTACTGCACCTTGTGAACTGTGGTCCATTGTCCGTAGCAAAAACTTAGTTTCTGAAAGTGAACTGTGATGCATTATCCGTAGCAGAAACTTGTATGACTGAAAGTCTGAAACTATTTGCAATAGCGGAACAATGTGGCAAGTCTGACTGTCAGTTAATGTGCCCGACATTGAGTTTGTTACAAGTTGCTTACCGCTTTTGTACTTTCGACGACTTGCCGCAATTTGCAAGGCGCAGTCATTGTTCAAGGCCCTGCTTGCTTGAACTTATCAGTCATACTATTTTAAGCGAAATAATAGTATTTTTTTTTCACAACGAATCAGCATCAGCCAACCGAACAGAGCCTAGATACGAGGACTGGCAATGCCGTTACTCCCCCCACCCAAAAAAAACAAACTACTTTTAATCAGCTTGTAGTTGCAATGTTGCCTGATGCGAATAGTAGGAGGCTTGTGGACGACAGATAACTGCCGCGAATACGAGGCAATGGACAGAACAGATCACCAAATGGGACCTGGCGGAGGGCGAAGACAGGCAGATCTTAGCCCGGCTGTCACTCTCGCTGTCGCCTGTCCGCAGAAGCTGTAGCTGAATAGAATGTGTCGCGGGGGCATTCATGGCGTTGTTGATCGTATCAAACATGCTTATTAGCTATGATATAATGTTTTTCTTTCACAACAAAACAGAGGCATTCATGGCGTCGTTGACCTATATACACTCTGTGGGGGTATTAATCCCTGTACCCTTACGGCTAGGCTTGGACTGGCCCAGATCAGAGGGTCCGGTCCATCAAAAGACAACGCGCGGCCCGGTCAACCTGTTCGGAGTCCCGCGCAAGGAGTCAAGACAGATTTGACGATCATGCGAGATCCTGGTCGGTTAGAATAAGAATCCTTATCCGGCCACCTATGGCAATTGTAACTGGCTAGGAATAGTTTCCAGATCTGTAACCCTGCCCCCCGGACTATATAAGGCGGGCAGGGGACCCCTCTAAAAGACATCTCTCATTGACATACAACAATACAATCAGACACAGGACGTATGTATTACGCCTTCTTGGCGGCCGAACCTGGATAAAATCTCGTGTCTGACTTGTGCCACCATCTTGTTTGTGACTTGCGCATCTGTCTGCCGACAATCTACTACCTTGGGCATACCCCTAGATAGACTGTCGACCATATTTCATCGACAGTGACGCGCCAGGTAGGGGGTGTGCGTACTGCTCTCCAAGCGAACAAGATGGTCATCATCCCCGGCTCCATGGCTACACCGAACGGCCTCACGTTCACCGTCGGTTAGATCACCTGGACCACCGGCTCCGACGACTTCATCGCCATGATCACGGAGGAGGCGCGGATTCAATCTGCGTCGACCGCTGCTTCACCTGCATCGGCTACGGCTCCGACCACGGTGGATCTGGCTCCGACCACGGGGGATCTGGCTCCGACCACAGGGGATCTGGCTCCGACCACTCCCGCATCGCCTTCAGCCACACCGACAACCCGTCGTCCGCTTCCTCGCTACAAAGGGAAGCAGATCGACAACACCGACCTGCTCGACTCCATCGATCGGGTCGGCACCAAACTTGCCGAAACCCTAGCTCTGGTAAGTTCAATTTAAAGTCAACCTAATGAGCAGGTAACCGCTACCCACAACAGATCTACCCGGCCAGCTCGGGCCAGTCATCCTGCACGACTCGGTACAGATCTCGTGGTCACATCTACTCCTGAAGGGCGCTCCGTTCGTCGCCGGCCAGCCCCTGCGACGGGTCTCCGGCTCTCCGAATACGAAGCCTCGATGGAGAACTACCAGGCCCAGCCCTACGGCCTGCGGAACGCTGCCTCCAACTACGCTTACAACATACAACGCTGCTCGGGTCTGTGTTCTGTACTACAACCTCGGCCAAAGCCACGCAACTTCGTCAACATGGTCCGGATTGAGGATTGTCAAGAAGGATCGGTCCACACAGTTCAAGAGGGTGGCTCAAGCTCCTCGTCCGGTACTGCATCCAATGCCTCTATTCGCACCGAGCTCCAGAATCACGACGATGAAGGCGTCGAATACGATCTGGATATCCCAGACCACGCCCCGAGATACCCGCGATTCCCGTCCTTCCCACCAAGGCAAGGAGGCTTGATCAACGTTGTCAGTAATGACGAACCACCGGCAGTCGGCGAGACAGAGCAAGAAAGGCTGGCACGTGAAGCACGCAATATTGATCGGTTTAATCGCCGACAAATTAAAGCCGAGGCGGAAGAGGCACGACGCATAAGGGTCCAGCTACGCGACCTCAACAATGCCTTCGACAGGGTGGGGGATAAACAGGTCTTCAGGACTCCAAGCGCCAACGTGGCCGTTGCTATGGCGACAATGCAACGGCTACCCAATACCCTAGAAACCCAGGCAATTCGCAACGATATACAAGCTTACCTGACGGCTGCTATGGCCCAGACCGCAGAGATCGTAAATCAAGCTCGGGCTCCATCCGTCTCAGTCGAGTCAAGCCACAGCTGCTAATACTCAAGTCGCTCACAGCCACCCAACCAACGTGGCTCGCGCAACAATGACCCATCAGACAACTGTCAAGGCGAAAACGGTGGCCATGACGGTGGTCGGGATGACAACCGCCGTCGGGAGGACGACCGCCGCGACGTTCGGGACGACAACCGCCGAGACAAACGCAATAATCGCCGCGAAAACCGTGGTCACAGGGCTAATCTGGATGGCAACCGAGATCGCCATGATGGCAATAACGATCTCCGCCATTACCTCGGAGGATGTGATCTGCGCGATCACATCAACCAGAGAGCCAACGATCGTGCATCCCATGAAAGCTATCGCCGTATGGAATATGATACTATCCACGGCCCGCTGGGTTTGAAGCAGTTTACTCCGCACCTTCGCCAAGTCATATGGCCCAAGAACTTCAAGCTCGAAAAACTTTAGAAGTATGACGGCAAGGAGAACCCCGAATTATGGGTCATGCTCTACGAAAACGCGTGCAGATCAGCCATGGCTAACGAGCACGTCATGTCTAATTACTTCCCAGTCGTTGTGGGTCATGCAGGTCACCAATGGCTGGTCAGCTTGCCGGCAAACTACTTCGACTCCTGGCAAGAACTCAAGCAAGCTTTCATCGACAACTTCATTGCCACTTGCGAGCAACCCGGCAACAAATATGATCTGCAGCGGATTCGAGATCGGAAAGATGAGCCACTGCGCGAGTACGTCCGGTGTTTCTCGGAGATGCGCATCAAGGTCCCGTCAATCTCCGACAGCGAGGCAATCGAGGCTTTCATCACTGGCCTCCGCTTCCACGACGCTCTAAGGGACAAGCTCCTCCGCAAGAGACCTGAATCGGTCATAGCGCTCCTGGCCACCGCTAAGAAATATGCGGATGTCGACGATGCTAAAAAGA